CTAACAAAAATGAGATCTAGGACGAGGAAGTAAATCAGCTGTCGTGTTCTATTCCACAAAACGTGAAACACTCCTGTTTACCGTCTGTCATTGGAGTATCTCGGGTTTCGGCCTCGTCTGGGTTTGTCTGGCTGACGTACATAAATTATTTTTGTTTTGCCAATATATAAATTTACGTGTTCCTTTAACTGTGTCTACGTAGGTACAGTGTAAAAATATCATACCTGTTATATACGTAAGCATTGTCTGTGCCAATTTAACAGATCCCATACTATAGTCATATAAGTGTTAGTTACAGGGGCGGACTAAGGTAGACTTTAGCCAACCTACCTACCGATCTACCGACCGTAGGCAACCTCTGTACGTGCCTAAGACCCGTAATTGTTGGGGCGCGAAAATTTTGGTTATTCATTTTTTAGTTTTTATTCCTATTTATCTAAAAAATGTGATATTGATAATTATTGTTGAAACGTATCCAAATTACCCTGTATCATTGGTTGATAATGCCAGGCCCGGAATTACAATGTTACTTAGGGCCCACTTTAGCCTTAGGCCGCCACTGGTTAGTTTCTTTCTATTGAGTAACCTGTACCCATACTAACTTATTATAAATGCTGAAGTGTATTTGTCTGTCAATTTGTTACTTTGTCAAAACTAAGCGAATCAACGGATCTTAACGAAAGGCATGCAGATATATCGTATCATTATGAGACTTAAGCATATTAATAATATTTTAATAATATTTTATTAACAAATACAGTATTGTCTGCGTTTGATTTATATAAAATCTATCTAAAAAAATAGTAGAGAAAATAGTGAATTCTATACATTTATACTAGCGGTATTTGTTAATTAAATTATTAACAAATATCCTTAATATTATAAAATAAATGACACCACTAGAAAATTTCTACAAGTCAACATAAAAAATGTCTTAAGAATAGCGCCCAGGACATATTATTAGGACTAAAATCTTTTAGAACAAAAGATATATTCTTTTTGCAAATGATGTACCTGTCGTCGTGTCGTCGTTTCCCTAATAATTACTGACTAATTAAAGTCTTGTCTGTTAATTAGTTAAGTATATAATCATTTGTCCCTTCACTACTCCTAAGAATATGCGTATTGCAAAAACCGCTTGGTAAACTCTCTCTGTGTTTCAAGAAACTTCTCGATTAAAGTCTTGTCTGTTAATTAGTTAAGTATATAATCATTTGTCCCTTCACTACTCCTAAGAATATGCGTATTGCAAAAACCGCTTGGTAAACTCTCTCTGTGTTTCAAGAAACTTCTCGTTTCTCGCTATGACGTAAACGTTGAACCGGTTCGAAGCGGTTCATACCAGTTATAAGTTCATTCACCCCGCTGCAACTATGTTTTTGTAGCTTCTTTCATTAAAATTAGCGTTTAAATTATAAGAATTATCATTGAAAGTATAAAAAATTTTAAGTAAATTATACATATAAAAAGCTAGCTTCCATGTATACAGTACTGTACTTAAAATTCCAAAAATTGTCGTTGAGTTGACAAAATTTTTAGATAGAGTTATTATTATATTTTTTATCCCAAAATTGCCAAGGAAATACTTGACGTATGCATACCAGACAAAAGTGAAGCTTGTAATTTATATTTGGAGTACATTCTACATAAATTAATTAATTAATGATCTAGACTTAACATACCTAGACGAAGATTTAATAATCCACATTATTTAATTTTTAATACCTCAACACTTATTAAGATATCTCTAAAGTAACTAAGTATTTTCTTTATACAAAACACGTATGTGACAGCCCTGATGACGTATACACACATAATTATGTTCATGGCTTATTATAACATTTCACTATAATGCAGGCCACAGCATTACTAATGCAAAGGAAAACCAGTCAAAACCGTTCAACATTAAAAGAATTGGGTTCCGTCTGAATTTTTGTATAATGTACATTACGATATAATATCGTGAAGACTTTATTCCATAAACTAAAAAAAAAACGTAATTTAAGGCTCCACTCCACATCCACCATATCATTCTATAGAATATATGGAAATACATATATTCTATAGAATGATATGGTGGATGTAATTACGCCACAAGCTAAGTGATGATCGAAATGTATTTGGTTTTGCAATAAAACACTCGACCAACTCAATTGTAACCTAATGATATTTAATAAATCAGTAACGGATCCCTAATAATGTACGATTGACTCTTGGTACGATTTTCTTGATGATTGAAAATGAAACGGTGAACTGAAACCGCTTGCACTAGTAGAGGATGAAGTTAGGGCAAGCAATCGTGGTTAAGCCAAGAATTGATCACTTTGGTTACTACAGGGATTTGCGTGGAGGTCAACCTGATATGGAACCACCAGTTAACAGTAATAACAATATATCTTTGAGGAAATGACACTGTTAGTAATAGGCGCTAACTGACCTGACCTCCACTGGTCACGACCTAAACTGTTTAGTGTAGGAGAGTGCACCGTGAATTAACAATAACAACCCTCCCCCCTGGAACTTGAGTGTTTTTTTATGGATTGACGCACCCCACCTGGGCTAACGGTTTACGCTGGTGGGGCACCAGTGGAGCTCATGTTCCACTAGTCAGGTCAGTTAATAATTCCTTGAGAATTTGTCATGATGATTTCCAGGGTGAACTGCGTGGAGGTCAAACAGTCCACATTACTAACAATTCACTTCGCCCGGATAACAGTATGGCGCACCCGCCTCTGCTAACGGTTTACACTGGCGGGACCACTACTAGTGGACGATTGCTAAGATAGACATAATCATTATCATCAACATTCTCATACCATCATCAACAAAATCTCCATACCACCATCAACCACCAACATCTTCATTGATTTGTTATTGTCTTCTTTGTTATTTATTTTGCTTTTTGTTTCATCGTTGCTTTGTTCTGTTCTTTCATTTTTTGTTGTTGTTTGTTTTATATTGTTTTGTTAGTCCTTGTAATTCATTTGTCTTCTTTTACTTATAAAATCAATATGTCACTATAATAATATAATATAATAAATAACATAATATTTCAATAATTATTTCAAACTCCACACCTAAGAAAATTATAAGTATACAATCCTCTTCAAACTCTGCTGAAGCCAGCGTAAACCACAGGCGCAAACGCTGAAGCATAGTACATCTAACAGATTCTAAATAAAAATAAAAAAAAACATGAGGTCAGGTCAGTCAGGCCATAGTAATGGGGTCATCTGCCCACATTACTAACAATCTTCCTAGCACTTGGCTACTACACCTTTGTTATTTTCCGTCAGGCTTTAACTAAGAACAATAACTAATTTGCCGTACGTACGCGTACAGAGTCGCGTGGGAATAATTACCATAAAGTTTCTGTTTACACAACCGCAGTTTGACACATGAATCATTAATGTATCAACATTGTTTGTGTCAACCACTAGTTTCCTTGGTTACTTTTACCTGACGAAGCAAAAACAACGTTTAATAATAATATAGTGATTACAATATATCTCTATTTTAACGACTGAGGCTTCTAAGTACTATAAATATGTTATATTTTATCTTTAGTTAGAAGAGAAACTACGGTCGCTGAAGCTAAAAGACATGTATTTGAAAAGAGACAAATAATAGAACAATAGAAAATTGATTTTAAATATATATAAAAATATACAATAAAAGTCTAAAGTCGAAGTAAACAGTAAACAGTACAATAAAAGTCTAAGAGCCTAGTGCACACTCTTTATTCTGCAACTAGTTGCGTTACGCGGCATTTCATGCGTGGCATAAACAAATTTACTATGGCAGATCTTGTTTAAAGTCCTCTGCTTGGCTACCTCTATCATATCACATATTACATATTTCTGCAGCGATGCAGTTTGTTTTGTAAGATGTGTTTCAGTTGAAGGATAGTTTTTTTTTATATTACTAGCTACTCGCCCCGGCTTCGCACGGATGTACATGTATTATATACATACATAAACTTTGCTCTAGAATCACTCCATATATTAAAAAAAACCGCTTCAAAATCCGTTGCGGAGTTTTAAAAATTTAAGCATATATAGGGACATACAGCGACAGCGACTTTGTTTTATATTGTGTAATGATTGTTTGAGTGTATTCAGTACTACTGTAATACCCAGAAGAAAACCATTGACTTGAGAGGCTGAAAGTGTGTTCCATTTTTGGTAGTGAATATTAAAAATTATGACTCAGTGCGAATATATGGAATTTCCACGACATAAGGAGTCCTAGTTCGTTGCGTACTTAGAACTTTGGTGATTAAAAGATGAAGACAAAATCAGGTTTTACAGGTCCTGTGCGTAATCGCCAAAGTCTATAGAACAGTTTTTACGACGATTTCTAGCGTCTGCAGTCTAGCAAGCGTTTCCGACGTATCATAAGCTTTTACCACTGATAAAAATGAAAAAAATGCATAAAATTTAATCATTTTAAAATATAAAATTTCCCAAAAACAGAGCTAGGCGCAAGGTAAAAATTTGTTCTTGCAATTGATCTACAGCCTTGACTTTTACTTTGACATCGATAAACAAAAATCGATCAATTTCAAATTAATGTCCAACCAACCGTGGCCATGTGGGTTAGTTCTTAATGAACATTGCTAATTGACACCAAAACCGTATTGAATACTAATTGTATCAGGCGGTGCTGCTCGCATGGAACAGCCTATATTACTTGATTACGTAGCGAATATTATATTAGAGATAAAATTAACATATAAAATTGTTAGAAAAAATAGAGTTTATCGACTAGAATGAAGTAAATACAAATTTTTAACATTAATGTAGTCAATAACAAAGGATATTATATGATATCAACGATATCAATCACTAGAAGTTGAACTAAAGTTGGTTGACGAGTAGAGAGAATGTGATCCCCACCTGATAAATCAGGCCATCTTATCAGGTGCCAGATCATGTCCGCAGATCCTTTTTACATACAATACCTTTATCTTTACTCACGTGTAGGTATATGTTTTTAAGCAACGCCCGTGCATACAAATAGGATTGTATAGGCTATGGAGATTGCTATTTGGAGATTTGCTAATAAATCCTAAAATATCCACTGAGGTATAATAAAAATACCAGGAAAAGATTTTAGAGTTTCTACAAAAATGAAATTGTTATGACATTGACTTAAAATGGAGAAATTACGCAATAGTATACGTATTATAAGGAAGCAGAAGCATGACAGGAATAGTGTATACTCTATGGTGTCCGGCAGAGACCTGACGCCAGGAAGTTTGGAGGTTTGGGTGGATCTGCCTGATGAAATCAAGTATGATCCTCTGTTGGCGCCGTTCAAGGACCTCTACGAAAGGCATCATGGTAAGTAAAACAGTAGACTGGTAAACATCATAGCTTATATACGATATGTCAATATATATACGACCTCAGCTCCGTTGTGGTTTAGCAAACTGCCTTGCTTGCTTCCGATAGTAGTGTGTTCGATCCCCTCGCAATAATTTTATATAGGTTAGGTTAGGATAAATTTTCAGGCGATTTTGTTTGATTTTTAGAGATAAATTATTATTTATTTCAGTGCTCGTTCTACTATATTTACATCAAATTTCATTTTCAAAATCCATTTAGTCGTAAAAGTTAACAAACGTATAAATGGAGCCACTATCATATTAATAATACTAGCCTGCTGTCCGTGACTTGGTTTACTTTCGAAATATAAGATTATAGAGATTATAGGCCATGTCTATAATATCTTCACAGCATATTATATCAAGATTCGTTCAGCCGTTTAGTCTTGGATAGGTCGTGGACAGACCGACACATTTTTGTGATTATAATATTGGTATGGATTAGTATGGATGTACTTCTCTATCTTTATCTAACAGATTTAGTCAATGACGCACGAGCAATCGATGGTAATTATGAAAATGTGTACATGTGATAAGCAGCTGCTGTCGTCAAGGGACGAAAACCTGAAACCTTTTTAAAACTCGTATACTGTGTAAAAGTAAAGTTTCTCACCCTTGCATAATTTCCATTGCTAAACAAAATTCTCATTACGTTGTTATGATTTGCAGTGTGTTCAACCCATACGGTCTCATCCGCTCTCTTTATAACTATACTATATTTGTAACTTAGATAATTAATCTCTTTCTTAAGATTTACTTTCATACATTTGACGGTCTCGATGGTCAGCGGTTTAGCACACTGCCTGACTTCTATAAGATTGTTTGTGGTGGGCGGAGTATTTACGTTATGTATGTATAAACAAAAAAATATAGCATTTATATCAGTTGCCTAGTACCCATCACACAAGCTCTTTTCTGTTAGTTTGAGCTAGATGGCGGTGTGTAATTTCACCTAGTTTATTGTTATTATATGGTAAAACAAATTGTATCTTTATTCTTCTGTAATTTCGCATAGATGTTATTTGTATGTTTCTATTCCAGAGAACTAAGGCATCGTGTATGCGTACTCTACGCATACACGATGCCTTAGTTCTCTGGAATTGAAACATTGAACAATATCTATCTCATTGTAATTGAAAATCAGTTGGGGACGACTCATCTGATTGTAATGCTTGTTTACAATACAAATTATTTAAAAAGCAGCTGTTTAGTCCTACTATATTACAATTAAGATAAATCAACCAGGCTAAGGCCAAGCTTGCTTTTTATGTGTGACGTTTTTGTAAGTGAGATATGGTATTAAAATTATTATTGATATCTTAGTCGCCAAAACTGAATGTGGGGTTCCCAATGCGTCAAGACTTGTTGTGTAGTATCTGTGAAGCTGTTATGTCTATTAACGAAGAATACTTCCATCGTGTGGGCGATCAGATTGTCTCCACTTATTTAAAAATTTGTATATATTTTACAGGTAAAGTGGATACTTTGGATATCACAGATGAAGATGATAACACCGATATCAAGAACCCAGATGTGGGAGATGTTGCAGAGGCAAGTGACCTGAACCATGAGAAAGAAAATGGCAGCAACGGGTATGTTATATGTTAGACCTAACCTGCTAAAAAGTAGAAATTTTCCGACAAATATTAAAATAAAATATCATTTATTCATGTAGGACATTTTAGCCGCTATGTGAACTGTGGCCAGTACAGTATATAAATTCAATTGTAAAGAACTAACAAGAAACTCAACAAAATTTTTTAAAGTTAGTTTATTTACATTGTGTACTTATATAAGTGTCTATGTCTGACCACAGATAACATATGTTTGACATTAAATGAAAATCGTGCATGAAACTATTGCCATGCACGTTTATTATTTAAGTAATCGTTTAGTAAAATTAAACAGATGTTTTATTTATTTAAAAGTAATTCCAGTATTACCATTTGATTCATTGACTTTTTTTAAACGACACTCAGGAACAGCAACTTTTATCTTTAAATCTAGTATTATTGTTAAGAATATGGCTGCTTTTTGGAAATAAGTTAAGATTCCTGCGTAGGTACGTAGAGAATATTTGAGTGTATACCTACATATATAGAGAAGCAATGGTGAGAATATTGGTCACGACTCCTCATACAGCAAATCGCACTAAATTAGAATATGTATATTGAATGATTTCTAATTGAGTCTGCTTTATTTATCAAAATAAATAAATTTCTATAATATAACATTATGGATTCTGTAACATCATTTTCGTTTTGTGCGTAATAAACAATCTCAAAATTTACTTAAACTGTTCTATAAATTCTTTCGCCTATTACCAGGGAGTAATTTATTAATTAAAATATAGACTAATCTCTATAATAGTAAGGTATAATGCCCAAAGATAAATCAGAGGCATAGTCATGACGACGTAACAACAAACATTTAATTGAATATATTTTATTCCACAGCGCAATCCATAACTTGATTTTTATCGGTGTATTTGTAGGTAGAAATATAAATTTTTTTAAATAGTAAAACTCAGTTAATTTTTGAGACAGAACAGAAACCACTAAACTGTTTCTTTAATAAAAAGATTTGAAGAAAAATATTGAAAGAATTTAAAGATTGTAAAAATACGCGGCAGCCGCCTTTCTGTGTAGAAACGCAGCACGACTTACCTGGTTTATTTATATTTTTAAACGATCCAAAAATCAAATCTAAGATACTCACAAAATTTTATCCAAATCGGTCCAGTCGTTTAGTAGAAGTTAGGTGATAAACTCACGTACAGAAGAATTGATATATTAAGATAATACGAAAGTACGTATGACAGGTTTTTCATGCTATAAATAATGACATGGAAAATCAACATGAACCTACCCAATTCTTCAAAATTTATTTTTATACCACTTGCTGACGTAGTTTGTGCTAGAATTTGGCACATGTAAGATTTGTGACAATGACATATTGGGGTATCATTGAGGTGGACTGGTTTTTATACAGTACTAACTGAGCCCGCGTTCATACCATATCACTGTAATAAAACAGACACAAAATGGTAAAGCTTACTACAGTATATCGTGTATATTTAGTGAAAATCACATCCGAATTTGTTAAGCCATTTTTGCAATTAACATTCACAAATACACAGACAAACAGATAAAAATTCCAATCATCATTGTTTTGGATTCTATTACATAGTTAATATTTTGATGTACATAGGCGAATGTTTTCAAAAACGTTAGGGTTCCTAGAGTATTCCACCGAAACTTCGATAATATAATGCATCGTGTGAAGAGAATACCAAAAATAACCTTTAAATTCTATATATGTTATTATGTATTATATATTGTTATTATGTATGTATAAATTTTGAATTTTTTTGTTCAATACCCGTACGAAACCGGGGTGAACTTGCTAGTATGTTTTAAAAATGACATGAAATTGTGGTCCTCTCCCACACAATGTCACTTCAACTTCAACGTGTGACGTTTTTGCATTGCTTGCACGTTCACTGGTGTCCACCCCATATACTTACCGCAGACTAGGTTTCCTTGTCATACAGGCCCGATACCACTCATGCGTTGCATATATACCATATATTCATACAATGCCTATTATTACATATTTTATTGTATGCTACGGAAATTATTGACAATAGTGCAAAATAATGTACCGACAATTAATATCGAGGGGTGTATGTTAAAATTTATAATCTTTAAAGTATTTAATAGATGTTAAATACCAATGTGAAGCCGGGTGGACCGCTAGTTATATATAAAAGAAGTAGATTATAGTATATACAGTACACAGCTTAATAATAGAAATTGTAGGTCTAGGTAGTACTGTCTTATATAATTCACTTAAGCAATGGCTGTTCGATTCAACGATTGGATATGGTAGTGAAATTACTGACCCCTTACTCTGGCATGCGTTACCATTCCGGAGGAGTTGCTTGGGTGAATTATGTAAGACAATAGTACCCAGATCTGCAATTTCTACTATTAACGTGATATTACATCATCATATGACGCCCTTAGAACTCCACTAAGGGCGTCATATGATGACGTATTATCCGTGGTGCTATTAATGGATATAGGGGACGGTTGCTAGGTTACAATCCAGTCTGCTTGCTTTAATATACACATAACCTAAGTATATTGTTAATAACTAAAACAGAAAAATTAACCTAGATAGGAGATTCTAACATTCTCTCGATATAAAGGATATGGTATCCAAAGATTTGCGGAAAGTTTCGTAGATAGATTCTCAGAGCTAATTGATTGTTGATCGGTTAAATCGTATTTATTAAGCGAAGTCTAGTACTCACTAAACGATTACTTAAATAATAAACTTGCATGGCAATAGTTATTTAAACACGGGATTTTCATTTAAATTTAGATGTAATATATATATATATATATATATATATATATATATATATATATATATATATATACAATGTAAAAAACTTGCTTGTAACAAAAAGTTCAGTTGTTTTTCTAGCCGGTTCTCAATTCTGAATACTGAACTGGACGTAGAGAAAAACAATGTTAATTCAAAATTTGCATTCATAAACGGCTATAATGTCCTACATGATAAACTATTTTTGATTTGATTCATTGAATCCGTCTCAATACTTGAAAGGGATACAAATTTAAGTAAAATAAGAAACATCAGATGATGAAATTAACTAGATGTTGCTTAAAGGTAAACGGATTGTCAATTTTCAGCATAGGAAAGGGAAAAATTCTAAAATAATTTTACTTTGCAGATTAATGACAGGACAAAATGATGAGGTACAGGAAATAAAGTCGCCAAGAAAAACACAGGTACTGATAAATATTATCTAATTTAATTTCGCGACTTTAAAAATATCGCCCGTCTATTACAATACACCACATAATTAAACCCTAATGTGCTATAATGGTAATATAAAAAAAAGATATTAATGATTTGCACATTTTTTATTTAGTGTTTTTAAAATAGTTTCTTCGTTTTCATTGTTTAATAGTTTAAAAAAAATCGTTTCATCGATAAACTCCAAAATAAAACAAATTTTAATATATATAAACGGGTTTCTTAATATTTTATTGTTATTTCAATTTATAAAATTGTGACTATTTTCATAACAGTTACACCGCCTTGCGCGGATGCTGAAGTTGACAGTGTTGGTTACATGTTGGGGTCTACTTACTGTATCTCTTATTATGAACATGGAGAGGTCCGATGTGGTACTACACACCGCTGTGAAAGGCGGGGAGATCAAAGGTAATAAATTAATTTATATAAGTACTTCTTAATAGCAAACGGAGGTCCAAAATGAAGCGGAGGTATCTAATGTGCTGATGAGTGAGAGGCGCTGAGTGTTTTAATAAAGAAAATATGGAGATAAAATAAAATGCGACTAATATGACAGCGATATATAATAGAAAGTATCAAAAAGAATATGATTATAAAATAAAAAAAAAATATAAAAACGTATCAAGGAGTTCGATACACAAACCATACGAAAATCCTCGACCAAGTACGACATTTCTGGCAGGATATTTTCATCCTCGTAAACACTGTGAAAAAGAAATGCAGAAATTATTATAATTGATTAGATAATCAAAATTTGGGCTCTTTACCTCAAAAGAAAAACTTCAAGTGACGTATTTGAAAATTAATTCTGGAACAATTTTGCAGTGCCATTTCCAATTGTATGGTCTCCGAGTATGTAGCTGAGAGACACATAAACAAAACAAATTTAAATAAAATCATTAAAATTATACACGTACACACTGACGAAGTAATTTATATATATAAATGTATATATAATAATTATATATAACTTATATCAAATACGAGTCAGATTTTTATGGTTGATGCAATATGAGTATTTTTAATGACAGTTTATTTTTATTAAAAATCAATATTCTAGGAACAATATGCACCAATTCAAATCCTTCACTTCAATTGTAAGTTAAGGAATGAATCTTTAATGATAAGAAATTAACTATTTATCTCAAAATTATGCACATGACTTTAAAATAGGATTAATTTCAAATTTCAGAGTATCAACTGCAAGCAGGCATCGACAAGGTTAAGACCCTAATTACACTTACTGGACCTTTCCATCAAGGGGCCAGTGACAGTGGAAACTTATTATACTTATGGCTACATAGAGTCTACGAAACTACGCCCGATAGTATTATTTTAGAACAGGTAATTTATATTTATTTAAATAATTACCTAAAGTTAAACATTTCTGTGGTGTAGCGGTTTGACACACTGTCTTTCTAATGTTCGTGGGTTCGATGCCAGCACAATACGAATTGTATTTTGCTATCTAGTTATATTATATGTGTCTTTCTAATATTTACAAATAAATATGTTACCCATAGCATAAGACCTGCATGGCTTAGGACTGGCGCTGTGAATTAGCCAGGACCAAATTGAATTTTATTAATTTAAAAATTAAGACATAATATGATGGCAAACAAGGTGATGGCGCACCTGTTGGTAGGTGATAACTGCCGCCTGTGCAGTGCCACGGAAATAACATCATCATGTCTCTCTTACCTCTGTATCTTGTCATGCCATATCTCACCCTTCCTCGAAACGTATATTACAAAGCGAGCTGTTTGGTGGCAGAAATAGGGGAGCTAGAGATAGACGGCTTTTTCCAAGTTTTCTTCAAAGTAAAATTCTAATTCAAAATATCTTTATTCATGTAGGTCTATTACAGACTTTTATGATATGTCAAATCTACCATCAGTTCGGAATGATTTCGAGTTGATAGGAACTTACAAGAAACTCAACTGGTATTCTTTTCAAATAGAAGTTGTACATGTTTACAATAATACAGATTCATGTAAATTCATCTTTGCTAGAATAGAGTGACCTCCAGCATATGCTATTTCAAAGCAAAAAGTTTAATCAGTGTTCGTAACCTGAACAGACAAGTCCCCACAAGTATGCTAAACTCTTCATCTTTGCTAAACTCTTTTTGATATATGTTTTATAACCCGATGACCTAGATCTGTTAGTTACCACCGGCATACCTTTGATGGTCGTGGATTTGTTTCCTCACACGGTACAAACATTTGTAATTCATATGTATTAGTGTTTGCATTGGCTTGCGTTTGTTCTAAGTATATTATGTATGCATTTAAAAAAATGTCAAGTATTTATATTATTGTCTAGTACCCATAACATAAGCTCTAGTACTAATTGCTCCAGCTTGGGACTAGATGGCGTTGAGTAAATCGTCGACGGGTTATTACAATTATTGTAACGTAAACATAGTGACCTCAACTCAAGGAACCTAAAACATACAAACCGTTGACGGACATATTTCTAAATGCATTACCACCACACAACTGTATTGTATGTCCACCACATAACTGTATTGTAGAATTCAAGTACTACGAAGTACTTCACAGAAGAAGAAGAACACACAGCTATAGTAGAAAATAATCCTTATCATTATTGAAGTACATGTGTTCACCGTGATACATAAAATCAATATGCACACAACAGATGCTTGTTTGTTACGTCGTGTCATAAATATTTACGAGTTTATGAGCTATATGTATGTATAATGGCACTTAAAGGTATACAAGTACTGTTTACAGTTTGTAAACGTTTTGTAGTGTGCTTACTAGAAATTACAGGATTTTCTTAATTTTATTTCGTCTTAGATTTAATTAGGGATTTTTATCATAATATGATATGCCAGTCCCGTCGTATCTTATTACTAATCTTATCTCATACTGTACAATGAAAATAATAATTTTGCTGGCAATGATACAGGATCAGATAATATACCGTGGTACATACCAACATCCAGCCGATTCAGTTAATTTTTTTACATGCAATTCTCTTTTAAGATATCATTACTTTGTACAATAGAATAGAAAGTCATTTATTCAAATAAACTTAATTTAAGCACTTTTAAATTATTTTTAATTATCATTAATTATACCACATACGACCACGTACAAACAAGCATACGGTTCTTTTGACGGTAAACATTTACGGCAGCCTATGCACTCTTCAAATATCAAGTGTAACGTGCGTTGTAGACCCTTATGAAATCCTAATATACCCTTCTTGAAAACCCTATGCTGTAGTCTCCAAAAACGTCGGCTCATTTCAAGTCAAAAGAAAATTCCGCAATCTAAGTGAGGGCGGTAGGAAATGCCGCATAAACAAGAGTATCGATCCAAAATGGTTTTTAATTTTGCACATAAGAAAGGCTTCAAATTCTGAAAAAATTGATAAACTATATACTCTGTCGATTACAAAACGAATCGATAACCAATATTTGATTTGTATTCTACAGATAACTTCTCAAATTTTGTCACTATTTTCAAATGGTAACAAAATTGCAAAATAGTCGTTCGATTGTTTTTTTGTATTGGAAAAGGACTGCAATTACGCAAAAAAATATCAACATTGAAAGTTAAGCATATTCTACATTTAAATTTCAGAATTCAACATTATGGGAGATACTTCTGCAGCCAGAACATGTTCTAGATTTTTCTGAGAGCGTGACAGTATCAAATACAGTCTCGTTAGAAGATCAAAACGATCCCGAATACCGTACTCTAATTAATTCAGTGATCAATCAGACACGACAATTTGTACATGAAAACATATCAACGTGGAACCAGACTGATGGAAATAGTAAGTACCTACTAGTTATATAACTTGACGACCTCGAAGTCAAGCGGTTTCGCACGCCGTTAACTTTTGATGCTCGCGGATTCGATTCTGATTGGACGATGCTAAAATTTCTATTCATCAATGATTGTTTCTTTTGATGATGATTGTTGATCTGGTTTTCTATGTATTTATTTAAAAAAAAAAGAATAATATTGTAGTATTTCTACTAGTTGTTTAGTACCCATAACATAAGTTCTTCTTAATTTGGGTCTAGATGACACTGTGTGGATAATCCAAAGTTATTATTATTATGACCCAAGGCGCTGTCGGTGTACATTTAAATATAATATGCTATATGAATTCGAATGAAAATTTCCATGAAATGAAACAATACAAGAAAGGATATCCATCCATCCTTACAAAACGAATTACCCAATATTTAAAGATTTAGTCAGATGATTATTTGGTTAGAGTTTACTTCCATAGATCCTGATCGTTCGTCTGTTGACCTACGCTAACGGTATAAGCTGCCGTGGCATCAATGGAGTATAAAAGGATAAGAATGAAGTCAGACCAGTTAACCCATCGTGGCAAGTTCACCAGGAACCTACCACGATGTTTTCCAGGTTCGAGTGTAGATGGACCTGACATTGCTAAAGGGGCCAATAGTCACCATTATTAACAATCTTATGATTATAATAAAATTTAATTTAAGGTACAAAAGTAACTCTACGTTTAGCTACCACAAGCAATAGCACAGTGCCTCTAACTGTGAGCTATCAACTCGACCCATTAGAGGAAACCCGGGCCATATTGTATGCGGCTATATTGCTTTGTTTCTTGTATACGCTAATTATTTTTGAGGTGAGTTATAGCTTTTATACAACGCAATTAATTATTATTTAGTAATAAATAAGTATTTATTAAGTATGTATATATTTTATTTATTGGGATGACAAACAAGTTAAATGAAATAACTATGGATTAAGATGTCATGCCTCCCTAATATGTAATTATATCTCGAGAAAAGAGTATATCGATATTAAAGTTTTAACCTTAAAGACGATTTTCCAATGTTTTTTCTAGTTAATACATATAGTTTATCATTAAGCATGCCATACATTTGTATAAGCCACGCCATTCGAAAAGAGACTCTATTTATCCAGTCTATCCCATTTGACGTTCCATTATCTCCAATATCCGATAGACAGTGTAAATGGTATGTTAAATGTTCCTACAACTTCATTTCACTTTCACTGCCTTCTTGGACGTTTATACAATCTATCCCACTTCACGTTCCATTATCTCTGTATATCTGATAGATTGAGATAATAGAAATTTTAGTGTACGTACTAATTTTGCTTCCTCTGCTTTCATCAACTTTTCATATAAGTTTGCTGGATACAAGTAGGTACAGGTAGATAGGTAGGTAACTACATGAGCAATCTGACCTGCCTTTATCCTCTCCTTATCCCATTAATCTCCGTTGGTGTCTCGCCAGCGTGTGCTGTTAACAAAAGCGAGTTCACCATTTCATGTTCATCCATTAAAAATAGCCTAACTGGGATAATAGATGTGAAGTTACATAAGCTATGAAGGCCTTGATGGTCTAACGGTTTAGTCCACCGCCTTACTTTCGATGGTCACAGGTTCGATTCCTCGCACAATACAAACATTTATATTCATGAGTATTATTGTTTGTATTGTTTTGGGGTGATTTCTACGTATATTGTCTGTATATATAAGTATTTTTATCAGTTGTGTGTACCCATAATACAAGCTCTAGTCAGCTTCGGATTAGCTGGTATTAATATGAATTCAATGTTATGCTAAGCTCAAAACATAACATATATATCAACATAATTTCAGATCGTAAATCGCACAATTGCAGCACTTTTATCTTCAACTCTTGGCGTTGGTGTGTTAGCACTGAATGGAGCCAGGCCCTCACTGGACGAACTGGTTTCTTGGCTGGATGTGGAAACCCTCTTGTTGCTGTTCAGTATGATGATCTTGGTTGCCATACTAGCAGAGACTGGGCTTTTTGATTACTTAGCCGTTATTGCTTTTGAGGTAACTGCCTTATCATCTTTTGAAATGTAAATCTAAACACAGCATACTAAACAGACTGCATAACTGCAGAAACACATAATATATATTAGGATAATATTTACAATTTTTTTTAGGAATTATTTAATTAATTTATTCATTATTGAACCAAAGCTTTTAAAAACAGACGAATTTAATGCCGTATGGCAATTAATCATTGTGCTTTGTACAAAGTCTTCTTTGGAAACATAGGTTTGTAACATAGTGTTTTAATATAGTAATGCTGAAATAGCAAGAGACTCATATGAACATTGTCTTGGTACGTTTAACTTTAAATATACGCTCAACGAGGCTTATTAAAACTCAGCTGGTTTGTTACACGAATCTTATTAATATTATAAAGGCGAAAGTTTGTGAGTATGTATGGATTGTTACTTTTCACGCAAACACTACTGAACGGAATTTGATGAAACTTTACACTAACATAATGTATACGTCAGAATAACACATAGGATATAATTTAAAAAGATATTATGGGCGGTATATAATGATAAGTGTGATGCAGACTAAGTCGCGCGGGTCACCTAGTATAATAATAAATAAAACTTTCGGTTATCAATCGATGTTCTACATCCTTAATATGCTGGATCGAGGTGGAATTGGGGACTACTGTTTCCAATTCCTGATAGTAGAGCATGCTATCAGATTCACATCTACTTGGAAAACCAATGGTTTTCCAAGTGGTCCAACATTGGTGGGTGGCACTAATCAATATGGTGATTTCTAGAAAATGGTATGGAAATGGTATATTCATTTATTATATTGATCAATAAAATTACTCTGATCTTAGTTTTAAACTAATCAAAGAATCATACATTACAATCCATGAAATAGTTGTTACAGGGCCTGGCCAAAATTGATTAACTCGAAGTTTTAAATTGTAGTGATCATAGATTGAGAATTGGGATTGTATACGGTTATGAGGGTATAAAATAAGAAGATTAGCATATCCAATAAAGAAAACAAATTAATAGGAGCATGGACCATGGCTGTGAAAAAAAGCCCCCTACTAATGTTTCATTAAAAGAAAACAGAATGTTTTCGTATAGCAATTGATAATAGATATAAATAGCGACAATGTATTGATTGCAGGTAACAGGAGGAAGAACATGGCCATTAATCAATTGTCTTTGTTTCTTCACCGCATTCTTCTCCACCTTTCTCGACAACGTCACCACAGTGCTGCTGATGACTCCGGTCACGATACGGTAATGATATGTTTATTATGTAAAAAGAATCGAAAAGGAGTAGACGACCCTCCTGATGGTAAGAAGCTGAGTGAGAGGTCGACTGTAAACCGTAGTAAGTTAGTTTCACCTATATTTCAGACGCCAATCAGCATGCTTTGCGAGATGTTTCCACTAAGTATAATATAGTAATTTCTATACGAAAACAATGTAAATGTGTATATATTAATATTAATGGCTAGTTATGTAAGATGGGAAAAAAATGGGATGGTAAACAATGCAATTAGATAAAAGGCAATTGTCGCCTACAAACATGAACACGACTGCAGACAACAAACCATCACGTGGCGCCTGTGGTATCTCTCATGCAAGTCGTTGTCCCTGGTACGACATTCCATTACGTCCATTGAAGAAAACAGCAAGTTGCAAGTTCATATATGAGATAAACGATATCTACGAAGATGATATAGTATAAAATTAAAAAAAAATATTGGTAGGCACATGCACTAATAAATTGACGTATTCTTTTTAGGTTATGCGAAGTGATGCAGTTGAATCCTGTACCAGTACTTATGTCCATGGTAATATTCAGTAACGTGGGGGGAGCAGCGACCCCAGTCGGGGACCCACCTAATGTAATCATAGCTAGCCATCCGGATGTCCTGAAAGAGGTATGGTGTTAAATTCATCAATTAATGCTAAATATGAACATTGTCGATTATATACGAACCAAGAGTAACTTGACATTGAGGGTAACACAGCTGGAGTCCAGTCACAACGAGTTTCAAGGCGTTTGTGGCCCGGGTCCCCACCAACTTACTGCCCACCTTTATGAAGGAGGACTACTCTCCGAAGGGTCTGGTGTATCGGCGCTACCGTGGCAGATTGTCGTCGTCAGTGCTGTGACGACACAGACAATTACAATATATCAATATATTAGCTTTATAATCTTAATTCATATGCATGTTACTCTTTAAGGTATTTATAATTGTGAAATTAAAAAAAATATATTGGGGTAATGGGATGTTAATATGGGTGCTCCATATTGTGTCCACTGGTATCCGTCCAACGAAAACAGTTCTATGAAACGGGTGCACTATTCTATTCATCAAAAAACTACATTCACAGAAAATACTTTGTGTGTCAATTTATATTTCATCTATGAAATGCATGCAAGTTAATAATACTTATAGTCCTTATTACAAATTTACTATTCAGAAACTTTGCGTATACCGTCACCTACGCACGATGGCAATACTTTCAATCGAAATTTTGCCTTAAATATTTACGTTCCGCTATACTCGGCTTACTCATGTAGCAAAACCTAAGAAGCGTCAAAAGGTGATACTTCCTACACCGGCCGTCACCAAAAGCAATAGAAGTTTTCCCACGAACCGTTAAAAACGAGACTGCACCGGGCACCATCTCCCCAATAGATATATAATTATGTTCCTTATATATAGTTCCAATAAATATATATCGTCCAAACTTTATTATTACAGTCAATTAGTATTTTTTTGTGTTATTCTCAAAATTCAATTTATTTTTAAATTCTAAATTAGTCAAGTAGTTATCACGGCTAGTGCAAGTCGAAATGTCGAGAGACGTAAACATTTCAATTTACCAATTATTCGTTTTAAAACCCGTTTAACTCAACTTCAAATTAAAAAAGCATTTATCATGTAAGATATTATAATCGCTTATGAACGTCAAATTATTTATATTATAATTTTTCCCTACCATCCAGTTCAGTATAGAGTGATTTAAGAACTGGCAAGAAACTTAATTGAATTTCCTTTTTAAAAGCCAAGTTACTATGTTATTATCTAGCTACCCACCCCGACTTCGCACGGGTGTACATGTATTATTATACATATAAACATTCCTCTTGAATTCCACTCTATCTATTAAAAAAAAATCGATTCAAAATCCGTTGCGTAGTTTTAAAGATTTAAGCATACATAGGGACAGACAGCGACAGCGACTTTGTTTTATACTATGTAATGATGTTAATTTGTCGTTTCAGAATATAAACTTTGCAACGTTCACACTACACATGGGTCTCGGTATACTGTTGGTGTGCGTACAGACATATCTGCAACTCAGATTTATATTTCGAGACATGAACAAATTACGTCACAGTGTACCAACTGATATACAAGGTACGTTCCTCTTTTACAATCTACTGGCTTCTTACCACAACAATATTTCTATTTAATTCTTTACTTTTATTAATTAATTCTGATGTGTTAATAAGTAGGTATATTGAAATATATGTACAGATTGCAATTCATATTTTAGTATTATCCACTGTATTGGAAATTCTAAAATAACAAAGTGCCTACGCATATGTATTTTTAGAAAATAATTATAAAAAAAACAGGAAGACTCCGTAATTTATGTTCAATTGGGGACTGAGGCGTCCTCAAGCACAAGCTTTATCTAGCTTAACTTGGGTCTAGATGGCGCTGTGTGAATTGTGCAGAGATTATTATTATCCTCTTAAGTTGTTGAACCAAATTATGCACAGTGAATTAAATGTTATAGAAATTGCTTGCTTAAGTACAATATCATGGTGAATATGTGTATATGTACATATTCACCATACAAGGACTGTTTTATTTGTATGTTAGACTCTATGTTATGTGCAATATGTTCAATATTATTGTTGCCAGAAATATTATAATAATAATGATATATATAAATTTATCTTCAGAATTGCGGCAAGAAATAGCTGTCTGGAGACGCGCTGCAGCATCACTATCTTCATACTCCAGAGATGAAGATCTAGTCAGAAGTGCTTTAGAGAAAAAGGTATCCATTGATTTAAAAAGATTATTAATATTTCAAAAGTAATGCTCTATGAGATCATGTTATTGTTTGTTATCAAATATATATAGGTATATATATATTTGTAACTCTTAATACGACAAAGTCTTTCTATTTTTTTAACCACCAAATTTAAATCACCGTTGGAAGATCGGATCTGGGTAAATATATATATGAAACAAATACGAAGCCGAGATGAGTCGTTTGTAAATAAGTATTATAATTATTATATATTTACTGAAGTTCAAAATTTTCAGGTAAAGAAATTAAAAAGTATATTAGCGAAGAGAGAATGTGGAAAGGGTATATCTAAATTGGACCCAAAATTCAGTTCGACTTTGGCGCAAATGAAACAAAAAGTGAGTATTGTGAAAAAACTAGTGTAAACATCGTATGTAGTCAGTTATTAAATATATTTTATAAGTTAAATATAAGTAAACTTATAAAATAAAACGTATAATATTTATGTGGTAGAGAGGTAAAGCCACCTTGTAGACTTGCGTAGTACCACAGATAACATAATATTACATAGTAGTACCAATATAGTAATACACTAATAATATAACTATATATTTTTTAATAATGTTTAACTAAAAAAGCAATTGTATTTTATATTATTATATATAGCCACAATGATATTCGCAATAATATATAGTATCTAAACAATTCCTTTTGTTTGCTTTTCATGTCCAGTATCGTATCAGAGATAAACAACTGTTGGTGAAATCAACAATAAGCGTTGCATTTGTGGTCATAGTGTTCTTCTTACACGCCATACCTGAACTACGTAAGTTTTTTAAAACATAAGCATTTACTGTCATATGTACTAGTACTAGTAATTACATTAGTAGTAATAGTAATTACCGTTGTGGCCTAGTGATTTAATACCATCTCTTACGCCAAGTTCGTAAGTTCGAATCTCGTCGGCAACAAAATACTTTTTTTTATGTAAATGGAATGCCAATCGAGCCAACAGCCAGATCGTAAACGGTCAACATTTCTTATATACATGAACTCACAACTATACACAAGCTCTCATGTTGCCTTTCCGGAGGACGAAGATGCCTCTTTTCATGTAATATAACTTTGTCATTCTACAACCGAAACACAACTTACAAGACAAGTAATTTGGCGACTGGAATGGGTGGGACAGAGCCACCCGCGCACTTTTTTCAAAGTCCGCTTATTTACAAATAAATCAGTTTTGGTTTCGACGTTGTAGTGATTATGATACATAATATGCCCACGATTTGACAAGAATATTTGAATTCAACGTGCAATAATTGAGGTTAGTGAATATATTAAATACATACAGTAAAGTAATGACATACAGATATATAATATACCTTCACTGTTCTGTCTCTACTTTCCTAATGCCCTTCACGTGCCAATTTCCTGTATTCACTTTCAAATTCTTATACTAAATGTACATTTATCCCAACCATCTACTGCAAACTGTTTATAAGACGGTTTATTTATCAGTAAATGTATTCCAAAATACTATTGATTCTGGCGGCAGGTGATAAACTGTAAGCAATCCTACAGTAATATTGATAAAATATCTGACGCCGACCCCGTATCACAGCGATAAGGATAAGAGGTTGATGATGTACTTATTTAATAATAGAACGACTATCCTTGGGGTGGACCGCGCTTCTCGGAGCTTTACTGCTGCTCCTCCTGGCTGAAAAAGAAGACCTGGAGCCCATACTAGCACGTGTCGAGTGGTCCACGCTTCTGTTCTTCGCTGCGTTGTTTGTTTTGATGGAGGTAAAAATCAGGATAATAACAACAGTCTACAACAATTCACATAGTGCCATTTAGGTCCAAACAAGCAGATCTAGAACTATGAATATTGAAACCACAAGGTCCTAAGGGTTCTATATAAACAAAATTATTAGTGTATTCTAATTTTGTACCAGCGCCATCTGTTGGCGTTGCAGGTACTAAATAACTGGTGGAAATAGTACATTTTATTGACCTACTACGCCACCGAGGTCTTCAAGAGCCCACATCATTTACAGACCATAATTTCGGTTTTTTACCAGGACATTTCACATAGCGCTATTTAATCCCGAGCTAAGTAGAGCTTGTGTTATACCTCCTTAATAACTAATAGAATAAAGTAGTCAAATACATTAGTTTTTATATATACTATACCTAGAAAAACCAAGACTAATACAAATAAACGTTGTTATTAATACTAATATTTGCACTGTGCAAGGAATCGAATCGGCAACCATCGGAAATTAGGTGGTGTGCTAAATCGCTAGACCATCGAGGCCGTCAAACTTCACCTAACTTCTTTCAAATACAGCTTGCACTGCCCTAAACGTATACATACCATTAACAACATGAGCTCTGTTCCATCATATCAAAAACAAGAACAACAATGCCCACCTCCGACCATTTTAACATTAGCAAAAAACCGCAATTATCGGTTTCATTATTTTTTCAGGTACTTACCAAATTACGGCTTATTGATTGGATAGGCAAATTAACTGAATCACTCATATTGAAAGTAGGCGAAGAATCCCGACTTGCTGTTGCCATCATGTTAGTGCTATGGGTAAGAATTTCTGCCATTCATAATAAAGAATCCAAATATTGTACTTACGTTATTGAGGTGAAAAAAATAGATCTTACCTGTTTGTTTATGGGTTCCTGGACGCCAATCAATGAATAATAATTTCAGGTATCTGGAATAGCGTCAGCGTTTGTGGATAATATCCCGCTGACAACCATGATGGTACGGGTCACTGTTGCCTTGGCAGACCCCAAGGGGCTGGGGCTGCCATTAGCACCATTGGCTTGGGCGTTGAGCTTTGGTGCCTGCCTTGGAGGTAAAGTAGAGTACGATATATAATATTTACACTAATCAAATTTCTATATCTATAACTAGAGTTTAAATCTTAACAAAACCTAAATCTATGCTCTAAATTGGATTTCTGATTGTAAAAAATCGTCTACATGTCTACCTAAGTCTCACTTATTTCAGCTGAATCACAGCATACATAGTTGTCATTCGGATGAAATAGGTGCCACCTCTGGAATGGCAACGCATGAGTAATATCTCGGGTGTCATATGATAACATGATGTCTCATAGTGCTATTCGTATATAGGTACAGAAGACGGTTGCCGCCTATCATCAGATAGACCGGCAGCTCGTTTGACGTTCCAATTAAATAAGAAATCTGTTCAACACACATAAAAATCACCATAATGTGGTTTCATTATGAATCACGATATATTTGTTTGTTCATAGTTGTAAGCTGTTATCATTATCACCGAAGTCCTCTATATTTCATATAGTCGTCCTGGGTGGTCTAGTAGTTTAGCACACCACTTTACTTCAAAGTAAACATTTGTACTTAAGTATCAGTCAGTCAGGGTATCAGTCATCTAGCATCTTAATACAAGCTCTGCTGCTTAGATGGCGCTGTCTCTATTGTTCAGGTTCATTGTTATATTATTTCAGGCAACGGGACATTGATCGGCGCGAGCGCTAACGTGGTGTGCGCAGGAGTGGCCGAACAACACGGGTACCGGTTCACATTTATACAGTTCCTGAAAATCGGCTTTCCGGTCATGTTGGGGAATCTTTTAGTCGCATCAGCTTATCTCTTATTTTGTCATAACGTAATCTATTGGAACTAGGTAATATGTGTAATTATGTATCACAGACAAAAATATTATTACATAATATTTTGTAATGTTATTACTAATTGGAAACATTACCACACCAACCAATCGTAATGAATATGTAATCAAAGTTTAATATTCTTGCCCAGCAGTGGGACACTAATTAAGGTGTAGAGAAATATATCTACAAGTTGAGTTTTCATAAGTACAAAAAGAGCTCAAATATACGATATGATTAATAAATTAATCTAAATTATTGAATAAAATAAATTATGTAAATTATTGAACATTTTGAGTACAATAAATAAATTACATCGACTGCAACAGTCCCTCCTTATGACCACTTATTTTTTTTTTTTTATATTTAAATACATTTTTCCACAGACATATTCGTCCGTGCCTTTTTTAATTTACTTTAATATTATTATATTTATTTAATTTCCATTTTTGTACAACTCCAGCCGAGATGTTACAATTTGCCTAACAGTGACACCGAGGCAGACCTTATCCGTCTGGCCCAGAACCACCGCTGGCCGGCCGGGTGAGTTGACAACATGCAGTGTCACCCATCTTTATTTGGAAGATTAGATTTATCAATATGCATATACAATTATATAAATCTTACACTACTACTAATTTCACAGTTTTCATTACATTGTGCAATGTAAGAATTCATAATGTAACAATACACATTATGAATTCTTACACTGCATATACAATTATATGAAATCTTATTCTAACACTATTTTCAAAGTTCACTATTTGTTATAGTCCAGGTTTTGTTTAATTATTGATTGTTTAATTTCACAGTTCACTTTTTGTCGTAATTCGGCAATTTTTTTTTTTTTTTTTCCCTTTTTCACTTCCCTTTCCCCTTTTTTCTTTCTTTTTTTTTTTTTCCCTTCCTTCTCCTTTTTTTTCCTCTCCTTTTTTTTTTTTTATACTTTTAGCGAGCATGTTCCGGCCTTTCCAGTCCAAAGCGCCCCGACGATGCATCAGCTGTTCTGGTTTTCTTTGTGCTGATTATTTTAGCGCAATCAGCGCATCAACGATCGCCCTGTCTCTATTTTTAATCGCCATCTGCAGTGAGTACTCACGAATGTCCGAGTGAGTCGCGCCTTCGGCCTCTTGTATAAAACGAGCAACTGCGTCTTCTCGATTTCTCGTATAATATACGCAGTCGCCTGTGTGCCTGGTGATGGCTACCACGGCATGAGAGTAGCTGCCATGCACTTCCAAGGGTTTACTTCTAGTATTGATGATAATAACCCTCTCCGATGTCAGTCCCTGGGCCTCATGAATCGTCAGCACTTTAGACTCCTCGTCCATTCCATATCCCTCGGATATTAGCTTTGCTTTCTCCGCTTGGGTATGAACCAGGTATAGAGTCCTGCTTTGGTCCGATGGTATGACTTTGCTGTCGTATTCCATGAGCCTCAGCGACCTAATCCGGAGGTTGGTCGAGTATATCCCGTTGTATACTTCTCTCAGGGCATACGCTACATCCAAGGGGTTTCTGTGAGTACATAGAAACTCCCTAGTAATACCTGCTGATTTGTTAGGTCGCTCGTAGGTAATTTCAAATAGGTTATGCCTATCTATAAAGGGGAGTTGGCCACTTATTTGGTCACGGTCAGGGCTATCGGTGACCGGCAAGGTGGTGGTGGTAAACGACGTGACGGTAGACATAAAGTACTGACTCCATCCTGTATTATTTTCTATGCCATTATGTTTTCTTTACCCCGCACGTTCTTGTTTTATGACATCTCAGTTCTGTTATTTTTAATGACTCAGAAAATACGTTTTATTGTATCACACAACTTGTAATGTACACAGATGGATAGACATTATCAGAGTATTAGCGATTTTGCGGAGCCTTACTACTGAAGGAAACCACTTAGGGGACGTCTATTAATCACATGCGTCTCAAAAAGGGTGGAGGGGTTAGGATAAAATATTAATAAATAATATTACGTCACGTGATTTTGGATTTTAGTGACTTCTCCGTGTAACATACGTTGAGGGAAAAAAATCAATAGATATGAAAGAGAGAGAGAGAGAGAGAACAAGAAGATAAAAACATCGCCTGATTAGTAGAGGATGGAGAAGGAGAAGTATCATAACTAAGATACGCTATTGTTAAAGTAATATAAATATGTCATGGCGTCTTTTAGGCACAGCGTGCGACACGTGGAAGAAAGCAGAAACATATATTTAGAACTAAGTTTAAAATGAAAGCAAGACAGTATTATCGTATTAACAGTAGTATAGATAGTAAAAATTATAAATGATTTTAATTATTATATTTTTTTAATAAATTGATTTTGTTATATTATATATTTTTATGTTTTGTTTCTATATTTTTATACAGATATGTATTAAAATTAAATATCCTCTATTTATGTATAGAAATTAAGATTTAAAGCCACTTATTGATGATACAAATAAAGCAATATTCAATTAACATTGTTGTTTAGTTCAGGCGTTCCTAAACGTTTTAATGCTGCTTCTCGGCTATAGTGTATTTATTATAAAATATGTTATGTGTGTACCCAGCCAAATATGTAATAAGAGTATGTGAACTGTTGCATTTAACATATCGTCGACAATTGACAATGCCTCTAACTAACCACTATAAGATAATAGCCATGAAGCTGTATTATTATAACAGTTTTATATTATTATATCCTTTTAGTTAATTGTGGTTTTAGCAACCGAATACAACTAAATATTACTATTGCGGTTAAATGATCACATCATTGCTAGATATGTTGTAGCGTGATATCACCTCATCACTGTACCGTTGTGTAGACGTGATGAGGTGTCGCTACATATTATATTGTTTTTAGAGATTAGAGTGTCTAGTATAACGAGTAGGTGGTGAGTATAACGGTGAAATAATTGTCCTATTTATTGTACATTAATAAGTTTACTATATAGTGTGCTACATGGCTTATTCGTAATGCGTACATTCGACGCGGAGTCGAGACGTAGACTGCTTTACACTGAACTTTATCTGGAGAGGTACTAATAGAAGGGTCTCGATTGTTGACAGAAATATTGCAAGGCGCAGGCACATTGCAAAGGCACATTGTAGGCACAATATTCTGCTATAAATGTAGACATATAGATAATACAAACAAACGCCAATTAATACAATATTGACGAATTATGAGTTTTTATTAAGATTTAAAAGGAAAACAACGATATATTATTTTGTCCTTAAATTTATTATTAATCAATAAAATAAGAAAACCACACTACATATATTTGTAGGATATTCATATATATATGATAACTAGCAACCTGCCCCGGCTTCGGAGGGGCTCTATTGTTTAACTATTAAACTGTTCGACACTAATGTATTTAAGTATTTGGATATGGATTAAAGCAGGAAGCACTCAAAATGAATTTGTTGTCTCATTTTTCATCGCTGCTCCGCTCCTATTGGTCGTACCGTGACATTGTAAAGCCTATAGCACTCGGGGATAATATAGTTTTCTCTTTATAAAATTAATAATAAATAAGTTTTAAAAAGTCCGAACTCTTATCAACATAGTCATAATTCCTGTTTGTGCAGCATTTTCTATGACGACACCTCCAAAAATATCTTGAACCTTGACTGAACTATTGTGACGACCGTGGCAAATGTCATGTGCTGCGTTGTGTTGAGAGCTGCAATTATCGGAAGTAAAGCGGTGTGCTATACCGCTAGAGTACCGAGGCCCAACAATTACAGATGAAAATATTTCTTATTAGCTGTGCCCGCGGTTTCTCCCGCATTAAATTTCAATATTTAAATAAAAATAAAAAAAAATCAATAAAAAATATAGTTACTATACATATAACTATATATTATTCTGATGTATAAGCTATATTACTGTAAAGTTTCTTCAAAATCCGTTTAGTAGTTTTTGCGTGACAGTAAAAACATCCATCCATCCATCTATCCATCCATAATCAGAAACTTTCGCGTTTATACTATTAATTAAGATTCCATATTTTTCAGGCGGGAATTATCAGTAGTCGGTATTGAGTTATTGAACTCACTTTTTATTAAAAGAAATAAACATATTCGTTAGCGTACCTTAATATCGTACCCAAAATTTAAATCCCCCAAATAAAATGTATTTTTAAACAACCACCTCCTCATCACATTCATCTAAACCTACCCCTTGTAGTCCGTTAAACCCAGGAATACTCATTATCCTCAAACCTCTCTGAATAATCATCTCTCTCATGTGAAAGGGATGGGGGTATATACCTCTACCTATTTCTAGTGCGGAGAGGATTGTTGGCTTTGAGGAGAAGTACCTACCTTACATACTCGTTGGTAGGTACTACTCCTGCCCGCTCCAATGTATGATCTATGTCAGGTGTCATCTCCGTGGGACTCTCCCTAATTAATAAACTAATAAATACGTCACGATAAGCGCAATGACCTAGCTAACTTTAAATTTAAACACACACTATCATTTTCCAATGGATCCAGAATACCTGTACCATAGGCGGGAACCCATTGTTTTTTTTAGTAATTTATTTACCTCACATGTGTTATTAAAGATGAAAAAAAACCCACAAAACAAATTACGTGCTTTCATCTATATACATTTTAGCTCTCGCTGCATAACAACTCAAAGTAAGCTAGTGGTATCTCTATCTGTATAAATGAAATGAAATTATTTAATGTGTTGTTAATTTCAATTGGACATTCATTGGTTTTTTCTTTGTTTAGTATTCCTTGAAATTCGAGAAATGTTTTTATCAAAAGAACAATGGAACAATTGCTCAGTAATACGTATTTTTCTTTTTCGTGTAAAAACTGTTCATCGATAAATATAGCTGATTAGCTTAGGTGCCCCCGCCGACGCTAATATATGGTATACTTTGCTGAGGCACCAGGGGAGGAGGATAAGCCGAGTATGAGGTTTGGTCAATTCGACCATCGTGACAATTTCACGAGGTATTAATCTGGGCGTAATTCGCTTCCACCGGTGGTCAACCTGAGTATATGTTAAGAAGTTAATTAGATCATGCAGTTGATGTAGTACTGTAATAAAAATGGAACAGGTGTAAATAGAATGAGGGAAAACGTGTAAATTTTTAGGTTTCCGGTAAAAGGTAAGGTATATTTTATGTTGCATTTTTTCTATACGTCCAACTGCCAGTCAGTCACGTTGCTCTATTTAAAAAGATGCTGTTATTAATTTCGAATTTGGAATTGTTTTTAATACTGTTGCCATAAAGGAAAATATGAAAATGTATTTTTGTTCTAAACATAACTATCTTGTATATGTATAATACTGTGTATTACGCAGTATTCGTCCGGAACCCACACCACCGA